TTGGGACACACTTTCACTGGATATGAAATAGGAATATATATAAAGTACAAAAGGAAGGGAAGAAGTAAGTATGAATCTAGCTAGGATTTAGCTATGAACAGTTGAGTGAATTGTTATTTAAAGGGATAGGAAGATTGGAGGGGAAGCAGATTTGGTGCAGCATGAGGACCAAGAGGTGCTGATGAAATGTGCAGATGGAGATGTTAGCTTGGCAAATGGACGTGAAATGCTTTGGTGAAAGGTGGGCAAAGATAAGCTCTTTCAACAAGTGCATCTTCATACTTTCCTGTGCTGAAAGACTTCTAGGCTGGTCAGTCCCTTTTTCAGACCAAGAGATCAAAGACCAAGTCGGTGATGACCGCAAGAGAACAGGATGGGATGCCCCCTGGGAGTACAGGAAATGGACAATCTAGATTCCAGTCCAAGATGCCAACTTGCTCATTGTCTAGCCATCTATGGAGACAACAGAAATAAGAGTGATTGTTCCAAGTACTCAGTGAATCCATAGCTATTGCATTAGGTGTGAATATGTAAGTTGGAGGGAAAAGATGGACATGTGCATAGGCTGGTAGGTGGCTTTGTCAAGATTACCATGGCAGCTCTCGGTCACTCCTGTTCCACCAGGGTCACAGGAAATAGTATGACATGTGCTCTGTGGATCTTTGGAGGTACAGGTTGTCTCAAGACCCTTTCCGAGAAATTAGGAGTCCAAACTATTTCATAATAACAGCAGTGGTTTGGCTTTTTCCTCTGTGTTGATTTGCACTGAAATCAAAAGCAATGGAGTGTTAACAGCCAGTGCCTTAGCATCAATCAAGGCTCCTTTGCAATGAGTCATTATATTCTGCATGGCCACATTGTCTCATTTAAAAACAAAAAAGCCAGCTTTACTTGAGAATGTAGTAGGAGAAGCAGTAAGACTTCATTTACTACATTTCAACTCTCACATGCACATCTTTAATATTTTGCTGAATACTGAAATACAATATTGCCATGAGAAAAATACTACTGTGATTAATTCCAGGGGTGGCCAGGTAAGCTCTTTTCGTAGAAGTTCACTTTGATTGGAAAGAATAGCTGACAGATGAGCCAGAGTTACTCAGGTGTATTTGAAAGACATTTTCTCAAAAATGGATAAAGTAGGTTTCTCGTTTCAAGGAAAGTAACAGTATTTGTTGTCAATAAAATTGAGCTTACAAATGAAAATTGGGAAAGTTTTTTAATTGCCATTGTGAACTTGAGACCCTTCAACAGTTGAAAAATTTTTAATGGGATTGGTGGTGATATTAATGAATCTGATTCTTTTATATTATGTGTGTAATGATTCAACATCTGGATGATTGGAAGAACCAGTGAACTAATATTTTCCAAGGGACCAGTGCATCATTGCATTAGAAAACCACACACAGGTAAAATATCCTTTCAAAGTGCAGGAGAACACAATGGAGTTTAATGTAGCGGTATGAAAATTTCATTGATATGGTCTCAGATTCCATGTTGCAAGTAACCTTCAAGAAGCCCTCACTTGGTTGTGAGGGGGAAAGGGAAAAAAAAACAAGGGAGAGAATTAAATTACAGCAGATGGGATAGAGAGAGAAGATGGGAGAGGAGGGGAGGGGAGTGGGGATAGTAGAGGATAGGAAAGGTAGCAGAATACAACAGTTACTAATATGGCATTATGTAAAAATGTGGATGTGTAACCGAAGTGATTCTGCAATCTGTATACAGGGTAAAAATGGGAGTTCATAACCCACTTGAATCTAAAGTATGAAATATGATATGTCAAGAGCTATGTAAAGTTTTGAACAACCAATAAAAAAAAAGAAGCCCTCACTTGTCAAATTTTGATGTGGCATCAACGAAGAATGTCTACTTTTTTGAAAAAAGGACCTTTAAACTCCCTTTTCTCTCAACTGCACGTCTGTGTGATGTATATAATCATATACTTCAAAACAAAAATTTGACAAGATTAGGTACAGACATTCATAAGTCTCTATAAAGCCAGACGTCAAAGAGATTTGCAAAACTACTTTTTAGAATGCCACTCCCCTATTCTTCATCTTGGAAATTACAATTTATTTTTTTCCACAAAAATGCTATTCATGTGAACAACTCATAGATTTTAATCTCCATCTTTAGAGTTATAAATATATAATGCATTTAAGTATTTAAACATTTCTCAGTTTTAATTTCAAATGTAGTAAATATTGATACATAGACCCCACACAGACACAAATTCTTTGGAGCCCTCAATAACTTTTAAATATTTAAATGGGTCCTCAGGCCTAAAATATATATATATATATATATATATATATATATATATATATATATATATATATATATATACACACACACATATATTCTGCAGGGAAGGAAATGAGTGTATTGGGTGAGAGGCTGCAGAGAGGGAACTAAGCTGTGACATAGGATACGTTCCCTTTGCCACAGTTTCCCAACTTGGGAGTTGCAACCATTTGGACGGTCCCAAGGTAGCCCTTTGTGAGTCATGTGCACTAAGGGGCTCTGTTTGACATTCTTTATTCAGTTCTTTTTCAGTGTGCCTTTTTGAAAAACACATTTAAGAAAGTCTTGATGTTTTTGGCAACAAAACCATGACCCAGAAACCGATGGCATTTGTTGGCCTCTCAGCTTAGTGGCAGGGGAAGCAAGAAGGAGAGATGAGCATCACCCTGTCCTCGTCCATCACGGGACTCTCTCAGCCATGGGTTTTCCAGTGATGCCAACCCTTGCTTCTCCAGGAGACTGCTGGCCACATGCCAAGTGGTGCCACCTTGCCACCTCCTGCTGCCTTTTTATTATTTTATAGGTTAGTCTCCCCTATTATTGGATAGTTGAGTGATTTAGATTGGAGATATTTAAATATTTTTAAAGAGCATTCAGAATCTAAATTCTAATGCCTGGGCTTCAGGAGGGTTGTATGGTCCTGGCTAAACGTTTGACTGGGTGATGGCAGGCAAGACATGAGCACAGCCTTTGCCTGAGACTCCCACCACAAAAGAAAGGTAGAGCTCCCAGAGTGTTTGATGGGTGATGGCACTACCAGAAACAAAGCCCTGTCAAGAGCCACATCTGTGTAGAGAGTATGGCTTTCAGCTAACAAACAAAAATGGCACATAATTATTATCTCCAAGTCAACTGTTTGTGTTTTTGGTTTTGGTGTTTGTTTGTTTGTTTTTAACTTTCAGCCCCTTTCTTATCAATATGGCAGAGAAATGAAACCTCAGGAATTCCTGGCCAGCACCCCATCCCCATCCCACCAAACATTTTATAGTGGGGAAGGAGAGGACTATTCACTCTGGTCAGCCATCCACAGGAGTGGCTTCTGAGATACCCTTCATTTTCTCATTTCTTCCCATGATGGCCGCATCCTGGGTCATGCTGCCCTGAGGTCCTGCATGCCTCTCTTCTCAAAGAAAAGCTTCTATGGGGTGAGGAAATTCTTTAACCTCCCTGTTTCTCCCAGGACAGATCCTCCTTCCTCCTCCTGCCCCAACCCTTAGGGCCTGGGCTTTGTGGGAAGCTTCAGGTAGGCAGGAAAAGACCTTGGAGGTAACTTCTACGTCCTCCCCACCACAAACTGCTCCAGTCAAGGAAGAACAGAGTTGAATAAAGGAAGAATTGAATAAAGGAAGAATTAGTATCATAAATACTTGAATGCAGAAGGGGTGTCAATTCAGAGAGGAAAAAATTAAAATCCAAGCTATCATCCTGCCATATTCCTTCCTCAGTAGATCTAGGTTCTCATAAATACGATTTCTTTCCCACACAGACCCCAGTCCCCATGTCTACACATCTAGCCCTGGAATAAAGAAAGGGCCAGCTCTATGCTTCCCTCCCTGTTGGGATTTCCTGGATTCCCTTCTCCAGAGGCCCCAGAGATGGCAGCCAAGTCCGTGTGCCTGGTGAACACCCTTCTTGGTCTGTCTGCTCTTAGAGATGCCTGTCTGTCTCTGGCTCCACCAGGACTCAGACAAGCTCTTACTGAAAGCCTCCTCAGGTGTCCATAAATTGAGAATATAGTCCTGAAAGGTCTCCCTGCTCTATCCTCCTGCCCCACCTCATTAGACTGTAACCACACTGTCCATCTTTCTATCTTTTGTCCACACCATGCCCTCCCCTGCTCCAGGGTCACCCTCATGTGCCTTTCTGCAGAGGGGCTATCCTTAACCACAAGGAGGGAGGGGACTCCTGGTGTCTTCTCCGTTATCACCTTTCATTGCCTTCATAGCATTAATCAAAACTCTCTACTGACCTAGCTTGGGTTCCTCTGTCCCTTTGCTTGCTAACTCTCTGTCTCTCAGAACATGGACATCATGAGGGCCAGGCGTGGCTTGCCCTGTTCACACCGTATTTTCAGTTTCCAGAATAGCATGTACGCATAGTAGAAACTCAATATATACCTGTGAATGAATGAGTGAATGGGTTGGAGGAAATCCTTCTCCAATCCTGTCTATTCCAAAGACAAGAAAATACTGCTTTTACACAAAGAAAAAGGCTTTATCCTCTGACAACCCTTCGAGATCTCCAAGGCTCTGGAAACCAAAGACAAGGAAAGGAAGTCCTTATCAGTAATGACGAAGTCTGCTTTTCATCCTGTAAAAACCTTCAGCTGAAGGGGAAAGGGGTGATGGATGTTAATTTTATTGCGTGAAATGCAGAAGATGGGGTGACAGGTGGACGGCTGGGAAAACAAAGGGAAAGAGGAAAATGTACAAAGGCGAAAGCCAGACTAACTTCTCTGCAGGTTGTCCCCCACACCTGGATGGGAGGCATTCTGACTGGTGACTCCTGTGGGCCCTGCTGATGTCAGGGTGGAAAACTGCCTGCCTTTCACACAGGGCTTGGCGTCAGCTCAATTAGCAGGCCAGCCTGATTGCTGCTCCTGGCCTCCTGTCTAAACAGGACTGGGCCTTCAGGCAACCGCAGGGGCGGGGGTGTCTGTGAATGGCAGCCTAATCCCGCCAGGCCAAGGATGGGGGAGGACCATACTGCTTCTTAAGCTCCAGCAATTCAAGCTGAGGCTAGAAAGCCAGACAGGCAGCCGCCCCTCGGGATCTCCACCTGTCCTTCCAGGCTGGGAAGAAGAGCCCAGCCTGCCGCCCGAGCTCAGGAGCCCAGCCACCCCTGCCCTGCCAGCATGGCCAACCAGCTGACCGAGGAGCAAATTGCCGAGTTCAAGGAAGCCTTCTCTCTGTTTGACAAGGACGGGGATGGCTGCATTACCACCCAGGAGCTGGGCACCGTCATGCGGTCCCTGGGCCAGAACCCCACAGAGGCTGAGCTCCAAGGCATGGTGAATGAGATCGACCGGGATGGAAATGGCACGGTGGACTTCCCCGAGTTCCTGGGCATGATGGCCAGGAAGATGAAAGACACGGACAGCGAGGAGGAGATCCGGGAGGCCTTCCGCGTGTTCGACAAGGACGGCAACGGCTATGTCAGCGCAGCCGAGCTGAGGCACGTGATGACCAGACTGGGGGAGAAGCTGAGCGATGAGGAGGTGGAGGAGATGATTCGGGCAGCAGACACGGACGGAGATGGGCAAGTGAACTATGAGGAGTTTGTGCGCATGCTGGTGTCCAAGTGAGGGGCTCCTGGGCTGCCCACCTGGCTGGGCAGAGGCCACCTCTTACTGCAGCAAGAACCTCACTCAGGCCTTAAGCTTGAGTCCCCAGCTTAAGCTCCGTCCCCAGCTTCCTCTGGGCAATGCTGCTTTGGGGAAAAGTGGATTCCATCAACCTTTCTGCACCTCCTTTTCTGCCAACTGCTCACCTGCTCGCACAGCAGGATGCAGAACACCCTCAAGCCAAGCAAAGCATAAAATGCTGCCGCCACTCAGGAGCAGAAGCAGAAAAACCTGCCTCTGCACCAAAGTGAACCAAAGGACCAGTAAATGTTTCCTGACTCTGCCATCTGCCAGGATGGGCCTGGTGACATCTTAGAGCTACCTGTTAGGGCAGGATCCCTAACAGGTGTCCAACACGGGGACCGGGGGGATTATAGCCCTCAGTCCATGCCAGAATTCCTGGAACATCTTGGACAGAAGACTTCATCTGCTGTTGGACTGGGGAGACGTCTTGGCCATGGATTGAAGAGTGGTGACGGGGACTTGGATGACTGAGGCCCAGCCTTCTGAAAAACATCACTGCCCTTCCACAAAAACGGCACTTGCTTGTTCCATTCTGTCTTCGCCAAACTTCTGTGATTCGTCTTTTGAAGCTGGGAGTAAAACTGGGGTCAGTTGTCACATGCTTACAATTCACCTGGAAAGAGGGAAATTTGACTGAAAGGGAGAGGGAAGCTGCAGGCAAATAAATACGATGTCATGTTCCTATTTGGTTTCCTTTTTTCTTCCAGTTGAAATGATCCTTGGTAAGTCCAGGACATAAGCCATAAAATTTGTGCTTTTTTGGAAATGCAATGAATTCCTGTACTGACAGGTGTAGTAAAAAGAGAGAAGCCTAGATATGGTGTATCTTGAATATTTACTCCCCCCACCCACTGCCAAAATGGGGATTGAATCCAGGGGCACTCCACCACTGAGCTATATCCTCAGTTCTTTTAATTTTGGGACAGGGTCTCACTAAGTTGCCCAGGCTGGCCTTGAACTTGTGATCCTCCTGCCCTGGCCTCCAGAGTCATTGGGGTTGCAGGTATGTGATCTTTTGAAAAATACTCACTTTCAATAGAGTGGATAAGTTGGTAGAAATGAGCAGTTAGAAACTCAGGTAGAGCTCCTAGAAGCCTGATGGATCACAGCAGGAAGGAGCTTCTCCTGCCGTCACTGTGGCTGTGGGAAAGCACCCATGGTTAGAAGGCGGCAAGGGGTAGGGTAGGGGTGCTAACTGACACAGGTCTCCAACACACATGGTGGGAAAGCTCTCAAAGAGGTCCATCCTGTCCACACCAGCCCCGCCCAGAAATAGGATCAGATCATCCAGAGATGTCACTTTAGTTCCAAAGGGAGTGGACATCATAAGAGTGGGATCATAAGAAATGATCAATTTTGGATAAGTCCTTTCTCTCCCAAACCTCCCACCTCTCCCCAACTTCACCCCTTCTTCCTTTGTTCAAAATCAAAGAACCTGAATTCTGGCACTGAACAGCTTGAAATTCCAATGCTGGCCTTGCTATCAAAATGTGTGGCTGTGTCCCTCCCCCCCCGCCCCATGATGACAGGCCCCTCATGCAGTCCTTCCTGAACGTGAGGATTTGGTCTGCGTAGTAACCCACAACCAGAGAGCAGCTGCTTCTCTTACAAATGAGGAAGCTGAGACATAAGGAACTAAAAATCAGTGCCATGTCCCACAGCTGGTGAGTAAATGTCAGAGGGAGCTGGGATTTGAATGCAAACCTGTGCCCTGACCACTGTGCTACCCAGCCACTCATGCCTTGGCCTGGGCCTCCACTGTGATGATTGCAAGAATACTTCTCTCTAGCATTTGTGAAGATGAGGATTGGTATTCTTGACATGCAGTAGGTGGTTAATAAATGACAATTACTACCACCATTAATGCTAAGGCCCCTTCCCATATTGGCACTCTCTGAGGCTTATAGTGTTCTTCCAGAGAAATGCAGGATCAGACTCTCTCATGACACTTTGGGGCTTGGTTTCTGAGGATTCACTGGATAGTAGGTTCTCCGGTGAAAACCAGCCCTGGTACAGGTGATTGTAAATCCTCCTGCCAGGGGAACAGAACTTTTAGGCGTGGCCAGCACACTAACCTTCCTGACACCTTCAAGAGTCAGGGCTGGTTGTAGATCTTCTGTAAGAGAGGTAGTAGAGAGCCCAGAGGTCACTGGATAGTGGCTCCCTTGGGGGTGGGACAGCAGAAGAGCCAAGGGAAGGTTTGAATGTGAACTACAGAGCCATCTGCTAAAAGGAACAGGACATCCCCTCTAGGAGCAAGCACAACTCACATCTCAGCATCTTCATCTCCTAAATTCCTACAGTAACTACAGAAACAGAGGTCTCCCATGGTCTCTCTAGCCCCTGTAGAGGACCTGGCTGGAGGTGTGGCTTGAATCCCCTTCTTTCAAGGTATAGCTTAAAGAAGCCCTTCTAAGCATCAGGACCCACTCACTGCCAAAGCTTTGGCTAGAAGGGGATGAGGATATAAAATATAAAGGTGTTTTGTTGTTGTTTCTTTTTCTTTTTTTTTTGGTCTCCCTCCCAACCTCCCTGCAATTTAACTGACATCTGTCTTCTTTTCATGTTTTCATGATCTCATGCACCACCTAAGACCATGCATGCACACGTTTTGCAGGACTCATGATCCTTCCACATGGCTGGGCAGGAGCTAGCAGATGAAATGGAGGGGCCCCGGGGCCTCCACTTGCCCTCAGCTGAGCTAACAGCCCCTGATCCTCCCTGCAGTGGGTCCCTTGGAAGCAGAGTGGTAATAAACGGGCTCACTTCTTTCTTCCATGGAAACTCTGGAGAAGAAAGGCCAAAGCTGGGCCCACTGCAAAGTTGAATGTGGCCCTCCTTCCCTTGGTGTTCATTCTTACATGATTTTAAAACATGGAAGCAGGGCCATCTAGTCATGGTGAGTTCCTCCTGTTCAGGCACATGGCTGGACCCCTCTCTGTACCTGCTGGGATCAGGACAGGAATGCCAGGCCAAGAGGGAGACACAATTGGACTGCTATTTTTTTTTTCCTGGTGCTGGGGATGGAAGCCAGGGCCTGCCAGGCAAGCCTTCTACCACCGAGCGGTACCCCCAATGCCTGGGCTGCTGCTTTTTAATTCTTTCCCCTACCCACCATGAGAAAGGTGATGTCCTAAGGGTCCCTTGCACAGGCCAGTGGGTCCAAAATCCACAGTGTATGTGTGATCTTTTCATGGGGCTGGCAGTGCCAACTCCCTAGCTGGGTGTCAGTCATTCTGACTGAGTTTCCCCCCAGGGCAATGTGTCCCATCACACAACAGCCTCAAGATCCAGGGCCACCTGGGGCACATGTGCCTATCCTCAGCACCTCATGCCCTGACACACGCACACACACACTTTATCTTCTTTTTCTTTCTTCCTCACCCTGGCCTGACCTCCAAAAAATCTGACCTGTCCTCAGATGCCAAGACAGATGTTTTTATTTGTAAAATGGGATCACCATGACTGGGGGTGTTTTCTTGCCTGTTGAGTAAGGGCAGGGGAGTTGCCGGGGGCTGGAGCAGTGGGAAGACAATAAATAGTCACCGATATGCAGGATGCAAGAGAGGAATGCAGCCCTGTGTTTTTCTGGGACTCCAACTTAGTTCCCTAACATTTCCCTTTGCTTTCAGTCATTGAATAATTGAATTTAAACAACCTCCCTCCTTCCCCCAAAAAAGTGCCATCTAACTGCAGCTCTGAAGGGCATTCCATGCATCCTTGGAGGAAGGAATTTATAAATATTACCTCCAGTTTCATGGGGCTCCCTCATAAATCAGGATTCAGGGCTCCTGCCCTCCCAAACTATATAAAGCATGCTTCTGACTCCCACGTTTCCACTTTTAAATCAACCTCAGCCCATCCCCGGAGGCTCCTGTTTTTCCTTACAGATTCCAGGGGCCTGTTCAAAGGCTCCCAGAGCCAGTCAGCTAAAAAATGATCCAAGGTTCCCACTGGAGAAATGTAACATCAAAACTCACATGTGGGCTAAGACTGCAAATGAAGTAGTAGGGAATTTGTGCTGTTTCTCCAAAAGGAAGGAAAGAAGGAAGGAAGGAAGGAAGGAAGGAAGGAAGGAAGGAAGGAAGGAAGGAAGGAAGGAAGTCTCTGAAAAAGGTCTGGGCCCAACCCACATACCAACCTCCCTATCACCTTCATTCTGGTGGCTGTTTCTATAGCAACAGGTCCTTAGATTAGGAGTCTGGCCTGAGCAAGGGAAGACAAGGGAGCTGGGCCTGGAGTCACCATGAAGAAGTCCCCTGAGATCCTCTCACCATTTACAAGGCTGAGTGCTGGGTGCTAGGTGCTAGGTGAGATGGAGCACCTTCCTCAAAGTTCAGGGAAGGTTGAGATAGACCTGGGAATGAGGGTCTCCATAGCCAGAGGATAACAATCAGTGTTTCCTAAACATCCTCTCCAAGTTCTTCCCCTCTTTTGTGCACTCACAACTACCCAGGAAGGGAAATAATCAGGGTACTTGCTACACAGGGAGGAATTCCTGAAGGCTAGCCATAGGTGGGTCCAGATCATTCTGCATGGTGCCCAAGACTGCCCTGCACACCTGGAGGGAGCTTGACTCCAAGGACCAGTCCCAGGAGACCAACCACAGGCAGCCCCACAGCCCATGGGTGAAGCTCACCTCCCATAGTCACCAGCTGGTCTCATCTACAGCCCACTGTGACCTTAAGACTCTGGTCTAAAGGTCTCCCACAAGAGAAGCTGAACCCTCACTGGGGTACACTAACATGGAGTGCTTACTACAAGTTGCATTTGCTCATTTAATACTCAAAACAAGTTCACCTGGCAGCTACCTTTATTAACTCACATTAGAGACAAGTACACCTGGCAGCTACTTTTATTAACTCACATTAGAGAAGAGAAGATTAAGAATTCAGGATTTAAAATAAACCTCCCAAACTCATACATCTAATAGAGTTCCACCCTGCATCTGACCGGCTCCAAAACTCACATCCCTCCCACTGTACCAAAGCAAAGCTCTCAGAGCAAGTAGCCCGAGACTGAGAGTGGCCCATCTAACAGAGGTGGTGAGGGCTGGAAGCCAGGCCTCAACTGAGCCCTGCACAGGGAAGGCCTGGAAGTGGGGAGCAGCTGCCAGAAAGAATGTCTGGGCACACAGGACCTAGAGTAAAGAAGAAACCCAGGAGCCATGAGGACCACTGTTTCAGGGTTCAGGGTGATGGCAGAGCTGGTATTGTCAAGCTGCCCCTCCCTGCAGAGGACAGCTCGTCTCACCAGCCCCCTTGCCCTGGCACAGGAGGTTGGTGCAGATCCCGCAGAACTGGAGAGAACCCTGCAGTGGCCCACATCTTTGTGACAGTAGATCCCAATGTACTCACAGTCCCATGCTGTGGGTCTGTCTGGACAAAGCAGGGTGAAGCCCTTGTCAGTTATTGTTGCCGAGCAGCTGGGATCTGTCTGGGCTTCTCAGTCTCTATAGCAGGACTCTGCCTCTCACCCAAACTTAGACCAGGGGGCCCACATCATGGGCCATTAGAAAGAAATACATCCCCTATCATGGATGAATAATGTCTCCTCAAAGTTCACACTTTGGAATCCTAATTACCAATAGCACAGAATATGATAATAATTGGAGATGATGGTCTTTACAGACATAGTCAAGTTTAAATTAGGTAATTAGAATTCTCCCTAATCCAAAATGACTAGTGTCCTTACAAGATGAGGAAATTTTGGACAAACACACATACAGGAAGACAATGCGAAAATTTGAGAAGATAGCCACCTATAAACCAAGGAGAAGGGCCCGGGACAGAGTCTCCCTCTCAGCCCTCAGAAGGAAACAACCTCCTCCAACACCTTGATCTTGGACTTCCAGACTCTAATCCTATAAAACAACACACTTCTGTGTTTTTAAGACTCCACGTCTGTGGCACTTTGTTAGGACAACTATGCTTCCACTCCAAGGGGAGTTTCAAGGTAGTCATAGCCTGTCTCCTTACTCTGAGGCCCAGGAGGGTAGCTAGGAACTTGTTCCAGAACTGTCCCTTCTCCTAGTCCAGTTCTGATTACAGGAAATCATGCCCTCTAGAGCCAAGTGCAAACAGAAGGAGGAGGGAATGAATCCCTGCTACACAGGGAAGACCTTGTGGCAGTTCTGATGCGACTTCCCAGACTCTGGACTTGCAGTTGGTATTCAAAGCCTGGTCCTGCAGAGGACCAGCTTAGTGCCCATGAGAACACTTGCCCTCTCCCACGCTCAGCACTTCTGAGGAAGCGAAGAGTCATTTGAGTCTGCATAGCAGGGCACAGTGGCACCACGCTTGGCAGCTTGGGCTGTCTTCTTTCTTCCTTATGCAGAATGACAACTCGACATTATTAATACAGAGCCTGAGGGTGGATGAAAATCAGGTCAGGATAAAAATTTAGGCTTGTAGAATCTTGGATTTGAGCAACATTGTAAAAATATGTAGACTTGTAGAATCTTGCATTTGAACAGCTTTGGAAAATGTCACTGACCCAATTTCCCCCAGGATGCAAGGCCTAACAGCAGCAATATCCTTGAGAGATGGCTAATCTACATTTCTTTCAATGTGACCATTGTAAGGAGTTCAAAACTAATTGTAAAAAGGTTGGATACTTCTCATCCTTGGAAAATGTTTCCTTGGATGGATCTGAAGGGTGCCTCCATAGGACATCACACATTGGCCTTTTTCTTCTTCTTTCTACATTCTAGATGGAATCTAGAATGCTGGAAAAGAAAAGCAGCCCCTCTCCCCGTGTTAGTGCCTCAGGAGTTTGCCAATTCCACTGAGGCTCACACTGCTTTCTCTCCTCTCCAGGCTAAGCAGTGTTCATGCCCTCAAGAGTTTCTCAGATGACACGTGCTCGGTCCCTCACTACCCTAGCAGCTCAGCTCTTGACATGTGTCAGCTTTACAAAATCTATTTTGCTGATGGGTCCCAGACCCCAAGCACCGTGTGGCCAACCTTGAAGGCAAAGGGACCTCACCTCTCTGTTGTGAATACAGCACTTGTGAGAATAAAGCTGATGGACAAATATTATTGAATACTGTGTGTGCACACGTGTGCTAGACTTTAGGGGACACGAAGGTGAATAAGACTCACAAGTGTAAGAGGAAGATCGTAGACAATAATTATAAGGCACTGCAAGAAGAATGGAAAATGCCCTGAAGCAGAGGAGGACACTCTGTCATCAGTTTAGCGGGTGAAGGGGGGCAGAGTGGGTACCTAGAAAGACTTTCCATAGAGGTACCCCTCCAGTCATGTCTTGAAAGCACCCAGGCAGATGATGGGGAGGGGAGACACAGGCAAAAACAAGAGTATGTGAAAATTCCCAGAGGCACGAAGAGGCAAAATGTCCTTTGGTTCCTGTTTGGGTGGCCACCTCCCACACATCCCTAGGGATCCAATTCCAAGACTGAATGTTTTAGAAAACCTCTCAGGCTTTCCAATCCCCCCCTGCCCTCACCCCCAGGTTGGAGACCTTCTCCCTGTCCCCATAACCCTCTGAGGCTGCATTTCTGTAACCCCAAGCACTCACCTCATTACCTTACCAGGATATCTCCTCTGCCATCTTCCTCCCCGCAAGCCATGAACTCCCGGAGCTAGTCACCTTCATGACAGAACGCACAGCATAGACCTGGCTTTGAGTCCCTGTTTCAAAACGGGCCTGATGGGATGAGTGGAGCAGCCTAGCGCGTTCTGGCTAGAGGTGTTAGAGATGACAACGGAAAGGTGGGCACGCATGAGGTGATGAAGAGCTTCACAGACATTCTGAGGGCTCTGGGCTCCATACTGGCAATGGAGAGTCATGGGCGACTGTCACATCAGGGGGTTGATTTGGGGGGAAAGAGAAAACATGCTGGCAGCCATTGGAAGAGAAGGTTAGAGACAGAGACTAGTTAGGAGACCTGGATGACAGATAATACAAGAAGAGGCACAGGGCTTAGGATGACGGGGGGTGAACAATGGCAGAAAGAGGGAAATGGATTAAAAATACCAAGAGCTAGAATTTGGCAGGGAATCTGGGGAGGGAGAAAGCCAGAAGGATTTGGGCAGATGGCAAAATGGCCTCTTCCATCTCTGAAAGCAAGATTGAGAAAGAGAAGTTTACAATTTAGTTTGATGGTTAGAGGGCATAGGACCAGATGAGAAATCTGATTTTTAGTCTCATTGGTTTTTAGGTAATAGGACTTGTAAACAGTCAGAAGTCTGAAGTTGAAGCTGGGCTGGGTTGAAGATCTGGGGAGCCATGGGAATGGACGACCCCCGGAGAGCACAGAGCGAGTTCCTCTACTGCTCACCCAGCTTCACAAGCCTCATCTCTGAAGACCTCAAGCTGCCTTTAGGCTCTGCTGTCACTCTCTTGGAATTCTTGATTTTTGAATCAGGGGCCTTGTATTTTCTTTTCAGACACAACCATCCCGCTGACCGTCATAGTCACAGGGCAGGACCTGTCCCAGGGGACACTCAGTTCCACAGACTGACTGTCTCCTTTAGAGCCTTCATCCTCACGCCAGATCTTTGCAGATGGGTGGGCTGGAGTTTGTTTCCACCCAGCCTGTTGATACAACTTTGGCCTTTTCCTTTGTTCGATTTGTTTAATTTTTTTGCCCCCCAGAATTCACCACTGATATCGTCGGATTGCACCCTGAATGAGTGGATGACCACTCTGAGAGAACCCAGAGACCAAATGACACTTCACATCCCACCACCTGCAGCACTGGTCTGCCAGGCTGGGCTCAGCGGTACCTGGTTCCCCCTCACTCTGCCGGTTCTCCATGTTCACAGCAGGCTCAATGTCCCAGAATATTCCCTGAACTCTTCCAGCTGTGACGAGAGACCTAGCTGGGAAACAGGTCCTAACAACCCAGGCTGTACACTCAGCCTGGTGGAGACCCTGAATTCTACCCCCTGCAGCCCCAACTTCCATTCCTATCACCTTCACCAAAGGGTGGATCAGGCAGAAGCTCCTTGAAGGATAGTGACTCTGTTGCTTGGAAAAGAAAATACCTCAAGGTGATTAGATCACTGTCTTTCATTTCAGAAGGGAAGATTAGGGGGAAAAAATGATAGAGTTGTTCTTCTCCAGTAAAATCTAAATGGTCTTAAACAGCAACAACAACAACAAAAACATCTTCAGTTAAAGTTGAGACTAGATATGAGAAAGGATTTCACAATAGCACAGATTTGGAGATGTCTACAGGAAAAAAACAAACTGGAGAACATTTAACCTGCACAAGAGTTATGCCAGGATAAACAAAAAGTACCTTTGCATTTCCTAAAGTCCTCACACAGCCCTCTGCATAGGAAGTTCTCCATATGGAGGCTAATGCTGAGCAAGCAAATGCTTGAACTTATGCATAGAGGCTCCTTTAGAATATTCCAAAAGACACCAGCTGCATTTCCAAGAACTAGGCTATCCAAATAAGAACCCTGGTTCAAACTCCCCTATCTAATTTTAAAAGGAAATTTTCAGTCCATGTATCTGGAATCTTAGTGGCTTTATGCAAAACCCAGTTCTGCACAGTCACAACTTTAAAAATAAGATGGTGTTCCCAGAGGAGACCCAGGGGATAGAGTAAGAGTCTATTTGTAATCCAAAACCTGTGAGGAAACTTTAGTTCTGTGGCCAAATAGAGGTCTCCACTGGAAAGAGAACAAAAACACACAAAGAGGTTTTGCAACAATGAAGCCCTCTGTTTAAGAGGCTGAAGGGACATCAGGAAAGTCCAAAGAACAGTTAAGAAAATTTCTTTAACCTAGAACATAGAAACTTCAACATGGCATATGGGACATGAGGAGCCTGGAATCTGGTCCCTTTCACATTCTCATTTTGCAGGGAAAAAGAGAGTTCCCTCATATGGGATGATGTTTGTGTTTAGAGCCTTTCTTGCTGTAGTGAAGACAAAATTATATTAGTGGTGTTTGGAAAGTGGACAATCACATATTTATGTCAATATGCATTTCATTCATTCACTTCAGTTGTGATTAGGCTTCGATGGGAACTAAATCCTGTTTCAACACCTGGTAATTGTAAGAATTTCCCAGTGTCTGGCTCTATGTATTTCAGAACTCTTTTCTATTCTGCTTCCCTTCTCCCCTGGGGCCTAGTACCCTGGGATGCGTTCACATGACGATAAAACCAGCGTGTCTGGACTCTTGTGCCAGAACACAGAGGGTGGTAGAAATACCCCTGAAGTCATGTCTGTATGAGGACAGCTGGAGATAGTTTGCCCACTAAGTGACTGAGAACAAACAGAGGAAGAGGGAAAGAGCAGCCATCTTACTGATTGCAATTAAAATATATCATTTTGCAAATTTTTAAAAAAAGTATATAACCATATGAACATACCATGGGCTCCTTTAGGGACTTGGAAGGGGTCCCCCAAAAGATACCCTGATGCAGAAGCTCAAGGTAAATTTTCAGCATGGTCAATACATGTCTGGGTGAATGGCTGGATGATGTGAATGTCTACTTCAGGCCTTTTGCAAAGCCTTGATTCGCAATTTTCCCTGCAGAGAAAAAACAGAAGTCTGTCAACTAGATTCCAAGCCCTCGAGGTTGCCTAAGGTATATATCCAAGACTCATAAACATGGGCTTCAATCAGGCTTCTTCATAAACGCCAATAAAAGATGTTGTGATGCCAAATGGTTCTATTTTTAAGTCTGACCTCCTCTCTTTCCCCCAAGGGCCTCCCCCATTTCCCTGACTGTTTGGATTTTTCATGCTGTCTGTTTTCTATTTCTAGTCCTGTCTCCAGTTCTCTTGGAATTCTTATTGATTTCCTTATGTGCTTGACTTTTTAGAGCTGCCCTTTGCCAGGTGTCTTCTTGGCTCTTTCCTTCCTCTCCTTTCTCCTCCTCCCCACCCCCCAGCACCCTTCACCACCATCTCTCCACATCTGGATCTCCCTCCCTTTCTGTGTCTTTCTCCCCTCCTGTCTTCATGTCTTTCTGTTCTTGTCCTCTGATTCTTTCCCTCTTTCCCCAGGGCCTTCCACTTCTTTCCAAATACAACCCAGCCTCCACTCCAGCCTAACATGTTTGCCCCAATTTGCTCATTAATTGTTTAAGAATTTGATCTCGGGGTAGAGCCTCATGCAAGTTGTTTTTCCTTCCAGTGGCACAAAAGCTTTCAAGGACCCTTTTCCCTTTGGGCTTCAGAACAGGGAGCGAGGCCAAAAGAGCAGGAGTTGACCAAGGGCCTCCAGCATCTGTGTTCTCAGGCAGTACCCTCGAGGGGACGGTCCTTGGTACACCCTGGATCTCAGACACAAGAGAAGCCTGAGTCAGTTGTTTGGGGATTCCTCTTAACTCTTGTGTTTTTCTTTAATTCTGTCTGTTTTTGTCTGACTTTCTACAGAAACTCACACCTTGTATGCTTATCACTCAGTTAACAAGTACTACAGACATCTTTGATGAGCTATGAAGGACAAAGAAAAGTCCTTGTCATCAAGAAACAAATTCTCCAGGGTCTATGGAGCCAAAGTCATCACTGCAAACAAGCACAGGACATGTAAATAATAAAATGCAGGATGCTGAATACAAATGTACCAGACGAGTGAAGGAAGAGCACAGGGCAATCAAACACAGCTTTGCAAAAGAGGAGAGAGAGTGAACTTAAAAAGCACAAAGAGGGGAGAGGGCATCTCAAGAAGGATGGCAAGAGCAGAGCCAGACCTCAGGGACTAGCCAGGGCCTCCAAGGAGAGCGAGGAGACATCCTGGCCTGGATGGAGATGGAATTCATGGTATATGCACAGTATAGACAGAGTGGCTGTGAGAGGCACAAAGCCTATCTCACTCTACCTGGGCTGCCATACTCAATACCATGGACATGAATTTTCTCATGGTTCTGTAGGCTGGAGGCTCCAAGATCAAGGTGCCAGTAGGATTTGGTTCCTGGTGAAGCTTCTCTTCCTGGCTTGCTGATGGTCATCTTCCCACCTTGTTCTTATGTGGCAGAGAGACCAGGAAGCTCTCTGGTGTCTCTTCCTGTAAGGACATTAGTCATGTTGGGTTAGAGCTTGTTCCTTATGACTTCTTGTAACCTAACTTACCTCCCTCCCTAAAGCTCTAACTCCAAATAGCAACATAGAGGGGTTGTGGAAAAAATATATGAATTTGGGTAGACATAAACATTCAGTCTATAGCAGAGACTCATCATCTCAAAAAGTTAAGGGGCCACCAGACTCATCCCAGCCTGTACCCAAGAGTAAAGGAAGCTGAGAGAATCTCTTAGGATTACACACGGTTTGCTTAGTCTCTTTGAGTTAGAAGTCCTGGCACCCCAGGTGCTGTGAAGCTTGTCTTCCTGGTAAGAATGCAGAGACCTTCCTGCATCAAGGTCTCCAGAAGCCATACTGTCAGGGATGAGGACTCAGCTGAGTACTGTTTTCTTTTCCATGGAGACCTGGATCAAGTTCATCCTGAACTTACAGACTCCCTGGTATGGTCCAGTTGAAATTATAAATAAAATTCACCTTGTCCAAATGATTCCTTCCTCCCATTTCAGTTTTGATTCTGAACAGTTTTAGAGGAAATGCTTTATTTCCCTGGGGAAATTCAGGGCCTACCATGTGCTTGGCACTGATCAGCTGCAATAATAACTATAATAGCAAAGGACACTGACAAAAATATCATGGAGCTTAGATATGAGTGAGACAATTAGCATAGCAAGTAAATTAGCAAGTACAGCATAAGGTAGATTGATGATAAGATAAAGGAGAAATTAAACCAGGAAAATACTGGAAGCCAAGAATCTCAGTCCACTTTCTGCTGCTATGACAGAATGCCTGAGATTGGGTAATTTATAAACAATAGAAATTTATTTGACTCATGATTGGAGGATAGGAAATACAAGAATGTGGTGCTGGATACTAGTGCTGTATCATAATGCAGAAAAAGAGCAAGCAAGCATGGGCAAGACAAAGAGAGGAAACCAAGCCAAACACATCATTTTTATAAGGATTGTCATGGGATTGTATCCATAACTAACCCTCCATAACTGACCCCTCCATCAATAACAAATCCACATAAGGATTAACAAACTTGCCTGGCCCAGTGGCCCATATCTATAACCCCAGTGGCTCCAGAGGCTGAAGCATGAAGATCACAAGTTCAAAGCCAGCCTCAGCAATGGTGAGGCGCTAAGCAACTCAGTGAGATCCTGTCTCTAAATACAACACAAAATAGGGCTGGGGGTGTGGCTCAGTGGTTGAGTGCCCGAGTTCAATCCTCAATACAAAAAAAAAAAAAAAAAAAAGATTTAACAACCTTAATCCATTCAGGAGGATGAAACCTCCAGGACCTATCACCTTTTAGGGGATAGAGTAAGAGTCTATTTGCCATCACCATGGCAATTCAATTTCAATGTGAGTTTTGGAGGGGACATTCCAACCTAGTAACAAGGAAAGAGAGTGTTTCTTCACAGAAGAGGAAATACAATCGGTCAACAAATATATGAAAAAATGTTCAACATCACCAGCCATTAGAGAAATGCAAATTAAAACTACACTGAGGGCTGGGGTTGTGGCTCAGTGATAGAGCGCTCACCTAGCATGTGTGAGGCCCTGGGTTCGATTCAGCACAACATAAAAATAAGTTAGTAAAAAATAGGTCTTGTGTCCAACTACAACAAAAAAATAAAATATCTTTAAAAAACTACACTGAGAATTCCATCTCACTCCAGTCAGAATGCCAATCAACAGGAATACAAATAACAATAAATGTTGGCCAGGATGTGGGGAAAAGGCACACTCATACATTGCTGGTGGGACTGCAAATTGGTGCAACCACTCTGGAAAGCAGTATGGAGATTCCTCAGAACACTCAGAATGGAACCATCATTTGACCCAGTTATCCCACTCTTCGGTTTATATCCAAAAGACTTAAAATCAGCATACTACTGAGATGCAGCCACATCAATGTTTATGGCAGCTCAACTCACAATAGCTAAGCTATGGAACCAACCTAGGTTCCCTTCAACAGATGAATGGATAAAGAAAATGTAATACATATACACCATATTATTCAACCATAAAGAAGAATGAAATTATGGCATTTGCAGATAAATGATCAAACTAGAGACAATCATGCTAAGTGAAATAAGCCAATCCCAAAAAAACAAAGGCCGAATGTTCTTTCTGATATGCAGATGCTGACTCACAATAGGCACAGGGGTGGGGGGGTGAGTGGGGGTTGTTCACCAGATTGGGAATGGAGGCAATGGAGGGGAGATGGGAATGGGAAAGACAGTAGAATGAATCGGACATGGCTTTCCTATGTTCATAGAATACACAACCAGTGTAATGCCACAGTGTAATACCACAGCCACAAGAATGGGAAGTTATACTCCACGTATGTATGACACGTCAAAGTACATTCTAATGTCATAAATAATTAAAAAGAAAAAATAAATTTTAAAAAAGAAAGAAAAGAGAGTGTTTTCAGAAGGGACCATGATGGGTCTTATAAAAAGAAGACTGAGAATGAGCCACTGGATTTAGTGATATGAAGGTTATTGATGAACTTGACAAGGATAGACAGAGTAGGAGGGGCTAAAGTCTACGGCAGGGAGCCTCCCAGATGGTCCCCATGCCCCCTGCCTCCTGGAATTCACATCCTTTTGTTGTCCCTTCCCACAAGGACCAGAGTTGATCAGTGAAAAACAGAAGGCCACAGAAATGCTAGCGTATAACTTCTGAGATTTGATTGTAAAAGACCATGGCTTCTGTCTTGGGCTCTCAGATCACTTGCTCTAGGAAACATCACCAACCCACAAGTAGCTGACATCTGTCAACAATGGTGTGAGTGAGCCTAGAGGTGGATCCCGGCCCTCAGGTGACACCGGCTCCAGGTAACAGCTTGATGGAAACCTCATGAGAGACCATGAGCTACATTCTCCCAGATAAGTCTCTCTGGTTCCTAAGTCACAGAACAATCACTGCCAGGGGGGGACTGGAGGCAGGTAGTTCCTCCATTGTCTGTTTGATATTCAAGGAGCTGCTCTTTCTGTCCTAACATGGGGATCATGTACCCTACATCGAGTTCTCTCTCTCCCCAGTTTTCTAGTAGGAAAGCTTTTTATGATCTGCCTTTGAGAAAACTCAAGCAGACATGTTCTCCGATTGTATCACCATAATTAAAATCATGATTTCCAAGTCGAGAGCCCATAGATCTGATAAGTGGAACGAAGACCCTTTCTATCACCCCAACATCAGGCTCTGAGCACCTTCAGGAGTGGGTTCCATTGCTTCAGCTTTTATTTCATTCACATGGCTATCAAAATTAGATGAGTGAAACTGATTTGAAAAAAAAATTGATAACAGAATCTGGAGGTTCATGAAGAGAGACCTCTCTGCAGTAAAAACCAAGGTCATTCTCTTTTCTTAAATTTTTAAAGTTTAAACATAATATTTGTACATCCTTGTGGGCTATATCATGGTAATTCAATACATATACACAATCATAATTATCAAATCAGGGTATTAATCATTTCCCTCTCTTCAAACATTGATCATTTTTATGTGTCAGGAATTTCAAACTTTTCTTCTCTAGTCATTTTGAAATACATCATAGGACATTTTAATCAATAGTTGCCCCACTATGCTATAGAAAAACAGAATGAATCCTTCCCCTCTAACTGCATTTCTGTGCCCCTTATTGAACTTCTTTGGTTCCCACCCCTGCCCCTTGTCCTTCCCAGTCTCTAGTGGCCACTAGTCCATTCTATTCTTGTAGAGATCAACTTATTAATTTCACAAATGAATGTGTGCTATCTGTCTTTTTGTGCCTGGCTTGTTTTGCTTAAATTAATGACCTTCAGTTTCTGCAAGTGATAGGATTTCATTTGTGAGAAGAGTTTAAACGAAGGGCCAAGAATTGTAAAGGATACCTATAATACCCAGCTCTCAGGTTAGCTCAATTTTTAAGAGCATTTAAGTTCCCACAAGGTGTCAAGAAGGTGGCAGGAACTTAGCCAATGCCTTGCCAGCTCCAAGGGCACATTCACATCGTGTCCTATCTGGACTAACGCAAGTCCTCCAACACAAGAGGGAAGATAAAAAAATAAATGGGGATATTGTTTAATGGATAGAGTGTTCCTGTTCGGCATAATGAAAAAGTTCTGGAAATGGATAGTGGTGATGGATGTACAACATTGAGAGTGTACTTAATGCCACTTAATTGTACATTTTTTAAATGTACATTTTAATATGGTCATTTTTATGTTATGTGTTTACCATGCTACAATTAAACTAAAACACAATAGAGAAAGTCCTTGAGCCCAAAAGAACTCCCAGTCTTGGTTGGCAAAGAGCAGGTAATAAAAAGATATCATAATTGTATCTTCTAAAATAGCAGAATGCCATTTGTGCATGAATGCTATGTTTTGAATGAATAGTGAACTTTGAGAAAGCTGATATTACACTGAGTCTTGAAGCGTGGATGAGTTCATTAACTGAATAGATTCTGGGATCCTCTGCAATATCCTTAGAAAAGCTTAGGCCATGCTTCTCCTGATCCAGAAGACACCATCCAGAGGAGAGGGTGGATTTGGAAGAGAGTATCATATAAGAGGAAAGAAAGGTCACCTTCTAATCCAAGTGACTGGTTGCTGGTGAAGGAAGGACAGAAGACCCAGAAGGAAGGCTGAAGGTTACCACTAAGAGGGTGGGAGATACTGCAGAAGTTCCCACAGGGCCAGCTTTGCAATGAATGGAGAGTCGCAGACAGGCAAGGAGGAGGACTTTAAAGTTAAGTAACACAGGAGGGAACCCAGTCACCTCGAAACCCTCTGTCCCTCCCTGACACACCAAGCAGGCCCCACTCCCTTCCTGCCATGAGGAAATGGTGGTTGTAAAACCGATAGACTGTTCTTGGGATTCTGATTGCAATCACCCGCTTTGGGGAACAATTACAACTTCATAGGAAGAAGAAGAGTTTCTAGTAAAGTGAAAAACAAACTTCAGAAAATTTTTCTTCCCTTTCAGGAG